CATCAAACCCAGGACCTCCTGTTTGCTGAGCAAGTGCTCTACCACTGAGCTACCTCCCTAGCCTAAGATAGTTTATTTTCATTATAGTGTAGTGCTTCTCTGATAAGATTCTGGATCCAGCCTTCATTATCTAAAAGTATCTTCTAGGAAGTGTTCCTGAGGGGCCTATTAGATGAACTTTATAAGGTACCATTAGGCTAATGACCATTTTTGGAGTTCTTTGGTACCAGAAGGTCTACTGAATTTTACTTTCTCTACTTACTTACTCTCCAAATGTAATATTTTATTTTTGTTAAGTGACATATGTTTTAGTTCTAGCCTTCCTAGCAGGTTAGCAAGTTGTATGGTATTTCCATTTCTGAGTCTTATTGGATTCCATTGTTTTTTAAGCAGCTTTAAAGTTTCTTAAACATCTAATGAGAAATCTATAAATAAGATATATTTTGATAGCATTATTTAAAATTACCTGACATTTCCCATGAAGGTGGTGTTGTCAAAGATTTTTTAAAAAAATATTAGTTTACCTCATTGATAAAGTGATAGTATGCACGTTCTTTAAAAAAAAAAAAAAAGGTAATTAGATTTGCAGAGGAAAAAGCTTTTTTGAGGAGGTACTGGGAATTGAACCTAGGAATTTTTTTACCACTGAGCCATATTCCCAGTCCTTTTTTACATTTTATTTAGAGACAGGGTCTCTCTGAGTTGCTTAGAGCCTGGCTAAGTTGTTGAGGCCAGCTTTGAAGTTGCAATCCTCCTGCCTCAGCCTCCTGAACCACTAGATTACAGTCATGCACCATCACGTTCCAGCTTAATTTTTGCCACCTAAGAATTATAGCTTACTGGAGTTACTAACTAGTTTTTCTAATTTAGGTAGATGATGTGGGGGTGTGTTCTGCCATGTAATATAATTTATTGCTTGCAATTTATCTTTAATTATGGAAATAAATTAGAATGGTTCTTTCATAGGCTCTTTTTTTAAGTGTACAACACCTAAAAACCTGATTTTTTTTTTTTTTAGTTCTGTTTCTTCAGTAGGTACTTATTTGTTGTGAAAAGAATAGGAAAAGAATGTAAATATTTTTAATTCACAAAAATAAAAGGAATCCTGTATGTGTTATCACATCAGTTTGCTTATCATTTTTTTTTTTTTTTTTTATGATCTTTAGGATGTTGACATTGGGTGGCTAAACCTAGAAGACCCAAGTTTGGAATGTTCATTTTTGAGGATTCTTGAGTTTTCATTTACTTACTTTTGGATGATCTGTTCTCATATTATAACAGTGCATTAATTTTCCTGGGATTTAGACTTTAGCCAGAAGGCTTCAAAAGATAATTTCAATCTCTCAATTTTTGTCTTTACATTTATAAACACAGTATCTTAGTGATAACATGAATATTTTCTCAATAGTACTATAAACTGTTGAATGGGATGATGCACAAAATTGTCCTGTTCTCTACTAATTCTACCTACCTGTCTGCATACTTTCTCAGTGTTTGCTTCTTTCTCATCAAATAATAAGGTAGAAAGTGAGGCATAGTACCTATTTTGCATAGATTTTGAGTAAATATTCATCAATTTTTTTTGAAACCAGTTTATTGAAAATATTTGAAGCATAATTAAAAGTCCACTCACTTCTTGAACAATGTACCTTGGCTTTATCTCCTTGCTTTAGAAATTGTTCATTTGCTTAGCTATTTCAGGGAACCAAAAGTTCAATGTGATTGGGTCATGAACCAAATAAATTATTTTATATATCTTCTGTGGATATTCACCAGAAGGAAGTAATACTAAAATTGTAACACATTAACATTATATCTTACACTGTCAGTTTGACACTGCTTTGGAAAGAGAATTGGTCTTTTAAATCTGGAAACAGGGACAACCAGTTAGAAAACTATTTCATTAAATTTAGATAGGATGATTCTGGCTGAAACTAGGGAATGGGCATAGGTATCAGAGATAAATTATGTCATAAGTATATATTGGAGAATTATTAAAACTTGGTGATTGAATATGTGTTGTGAGCCACAACCCAGTCTCTTCTCTTACTGTAAGGTTTCTCTCATAGCATCTGGATAAATGGTTTATTAGTTAGGATAGGCTAAGCCTATTTTAACAAAGAACCTCAAAATTAGCTGTATAAAGAATGAGAATTTATATTTCTCACTTAATGATATAAAATAATTGTTGCTTACCTAATTTACCATTAATATTTAACCATATCATCAGGTCAAATGATGATTGTTTCATATAGTGATCCAGGAAACCAGGTTGGATGATCTGCCATCTTCTACAAATGCCTTCCAAGGCTGTTGCCAGAAGTAAGAAAATAGGGAGAAACGTTATGATGAGCCAGGCCTAGTAATGGCACGTATCACATGTATTCCCATTCCATTGGAGAGCATTTGTCATATGGCCACATGTCACTACAGTGAGCCTGGGAAATGTAGCATAGCTGGGCGGCTGCCATAGAAAAAAGGAATAACAAATTTTAGAGGACAACTATCGTTCTCTGCCACAAATGGTGATGCTGTTTGCTGAGACAGGAAGCAGGAAGAGAGAAGCAATTTGCAGCAAAAGGTAATAAATTTACTTTTGGATGTGTTTTGATGTAGGTACTTATAGGACTTATAAATCTGCATGCATAATAATAGAAAAGTGATCTTAATAAGCATCAATTGGAAAAAATTAGTCTCATTTTTCTATAACAATATGATAATCCAGGGATTTAAAAGTTATTTTTCTTTGGGAAACAATTGAAAATAGAAAAGGAGAACTGCAAAAAACGGTTATCTTAGTTGTTATGTGGTTATGGCATAAGTCAGTCAATAAAAGATGTTTACTCTATGCCAGACATCTATCTGATAATACTATTGGCTAGATATTAGAGATGAACTCATTTATATGGTGATGAGAGAAGTTTTGAAAGGGTGGGACAAAGGAAAAAAATTTAAAATATAAAGTAATAAGCGTACTACAAAGCAAATAAAATAGTGACTGTACATCCCATATGGGAAAATGATGGTGGTAGCTAGGATAATTTTCTCTAGGGCAATTTAGGATGGACCTCTTTAAGGAAGTAAATTGCAGGTAAGACCTGAGTGATGAGAATGAAAAAACCTGAAGAAGGCCTGGGCAAAGAACATAGGAATTAAAAAGTAGAAGTATTGAGTTAGTGGGTAGCCTGGGAACAGACTTGGAAAGTTTAAAGGTCATAAAGATGCCCATCCTGATAGTAGTTGGTGTACATTGATATCAGTGTACAATGATATCAAATGAAGTAAATTTTATTTTGTTGCAGTGGGAAATCTTGTTAAAATACTTTGAAACAAGTAGGTGATAAGATCTGGTTTTATGCTTTAAAGACAGCAATAGCAAAAAGTTTTTAAAAGAATTGAGGGAAGGTTAGGGTTGGAGGGAAGAAGCCAGTGAAGGTATTGATACATTAGTACCAATGAAATGATTTTAATGACTGATTCAGATTATAGCTGTTGAGTTAGATTTAGGATTTGAGGGAAAGAGGGATCAAGAATGACTCCTGGATTTTTGATCTCAGAAGCTAGATAGGATAATAGAGATCCCAGATTTGCTTTCCAGTTAACTGTGGCTCTCCTTATTTGGTTCAAAATCACTATAAATTACAATATAAAAGAACCAGTACAGATTTTATTATATGTGTTGTGGGAAAAATTAAGCATTTTATAGCTAGCTTAGTATATTCTTTTATATGATTCTTTTTTCCCCCTTTCTTATAATCTTGAAAGCCCTAAGGTAGGGAAGACCATAACCATATTTCATCTTCCCTTTCCTTCTTCTCCAATCTCTAGAATTCCTAGGA